AACGCAAGTGGTCCTGGGGTAATGGTGGTAGTCATGGTTGGGGTATATGGGGTACTGGTATTGGAAAGCATGATACAAGCAGGCGATGCTGTTACGGTATTGATTCCGGAAATGATTGGAGTGGACCAGAAAACGGTTACATTTTCTGGGGTAACACCAATATGGATAGCTGGAAGAGCAGTGGCGGTGGTGAAGGATGGCGCAAATGGGAAGGTTGAAAATCCTCTATCGACTTTAACATACAACTGTTTTGATTCTTACCTTAAAAAATATAGTTAACAGTAGGCCATTACAACGGAAAAAGTTTGGTGGTTCTGTCTTTGATTTCCCCTACGAAGATTAGAAAAGGTTTCTGAAAACTTTTATGGTGCTCAATGCGTCACGCTATCCATCGGATCGAATATGACTCGTTCATATCAGATTACCAGCAAAATTCTTTCTTTAAAATATAAACAAAATTTAATAATGTCAAATTTGAAAAGAGATTTTCAGAGAACTTTTTAAACTCTACAACGTAAATGATTAGAACTTTTGTAGTCAATGGTGACGGACTAGACAAAGCAGGCCACGAACATGGTGGATGGAAAAGTTGGAAAAGTGGCACAGGCGGTGGAAATTGGGATAGCTGGAAGAGTAACGAAAAACCAATAAATGCTAAAGCAGAAGCCTATGCATCCGCTTCTATTGATCCCTAACTTCTTCATGTAGTATTTTGGTTGATGAATTAAATTTTGTCCTCTCAAATTATTACAAAAGGATAGAATTTAAGAAATTTATTGACAATTTTGCTTTCTTTTCTAATAACAGCATTCATCAGGTTTCTTTGTTCCACATTCATCTAATCAAAGTAACCAACAGTGACAATGCTTTTACACTGCCTGATATAATCCTTGTCCAAAAACTGTTCATATTGCTACTGTGATCTTTTGGCCTATGTTACATTATAGGACTTTTTGTGAAATCCAGACGTATTCTCTTTGAAAGATGACTGACAGGATGGTGTTTTGTATTTTCTTCATGATTAAGACTATAGTATGCAGAATTACGTAAACCCCGGAAATAAAATTTTTTCATTTTCAAAATAACTTCAACAAAAGGCAACCAACAATTCATATGTGAGTAATTGAACTTGTTAACAAATATTTAATGAGGCGAAATTATGCGTTGTCATTATTGTGCTGTTGAACGTCAAAATAAAGAAGTTTGTTTATTTATTTCAAATGCAAAAATAAGATTGATGGCTTTTTTCATTGTGAGCACCAATAAAATGCTGTAATATGTGAATTTCGCAAATAATAACTGACCACAAGACTCGTTTTGCATACATTTCTTACAGTCTTCGAAGAAGTCCTAACATTCCACAATGTGTGATAATTCATTGAGACTGGGAAACGGATATGAGAATTAGCGATAGAGAGGAAAAATTAAGAGGAAACAAGATCTTTTGAGGGATATATAAATCTTCTTCGATGATCTCCAGCAACTGAACAAAATGTCTTCAGCTACTAAAAACTTTCGAGCGCTAATGTTCATTATGTTCTCTCTTATCATCGGTATGATTTCTTTTTCCTTCAAAAAGAAATTCCTTCTTATCGATATTGTTCAGTATTCTTTCAAATCCATCAATTTGTGATGCTATTAGTCATCCATACAAACATAAACTTGATAAGTAACTATGAAAGATCAAGCCTTTTTACTCCAGTTTCTCGATATAATTCATATTAATGTATTCTTAATGAATGTTTTGAGGAATATTTTCACTAAAATAGTATAAACTTTTCGAATGCATGAAAATTAATGAAAATACGATTGTTTATATTGTAGGCGCTATCAGTCCACCAAGTTCAAAACCAATGGACTACACCGATGTTGATACGATAACTCAGCCGAGATTACTGAACAAACCAGGAAGGTGGAATATGGAATATAATTACGGCAGGAGGTACGAGCATTCTAAAGGTCAAGAGTGGGGTACTGGCTACAACAATCAATACAATGATGTAAATGTTACAAAACCGAAACTGTCGCAAACGGAACTATCACCTGTACAATGGACTTCTTCTAACACAGATAAATTCAAAATACATGCACAGGGAATATCCGAGAGGAATGATGAACAGCAAGCAAGTATGCTGCGATCCAATGATCAAAAAAAGCAATTCCAAGAAAAGACTGGTAGTGAGGTGAAAAATTGGCATAATTGGCCTAGCAAAAATATAACATGGCCAGGCTGGGTGCTCAAAGGGAATCATTTTAAAAAACAGCTGGTACCATGGTGGAATACTGGTAATCAGCAAGTAATGAAAGCACAAAAAGTTGCAAGGTTTATGTCTGGTGAGGCCATTACGAAACAAAAACCTCCATTCTGGCCTGGTTCTGTAGGTTGGACAGGGGATTTGGGTCCTTTTGGTGAAGTACCATCCCCACCATGGCTTTCTAAAGATTTTACCAGTAACTGACGCCAAAAGTAGCTGATGTAAGTCTAGTAGAAAAAAGTATCCGACCAGCTTAAATGTTTATCAAGTCAAATTCTGATTAACTTTTTTAAATTAACTTTATTGTCGATGCATTCCCTACCAATTCAACCTTTGTTCCGGTATTTCATAGTGCTCCTTACTTCTGACTTAATTTTCGCGTTTTCTGCTAAGGTGACATAAGTTTCAGCTAAGTACACAAACGAATTTGATCGGATTCTTTCAAAATTGTCCATTTTGCTCCGAAAAATTACGCATGTTGATTGTGTCGTTAACTTTATTTTGATTTATTTAAAGCAAAATTCCATCTTCATTAATAAAAATTATCAGTGTCCTTTGACCTAATTGCAATAAGTACCACTATAGCCACCAATACGTACACATATTGGCCACCGATTGTATTACCGTTGTTACAGCTGAATTTGAATTTTTTAAATCTACTTGTTTCCACAAATTTTTTGGGAACTTTTTGCATTTAACACTTTACTTACAAAATACATTTCTACAACTTACACAAAAAAGTGATACAATTGTTAAAAATGATAAAGTGTCGCAGACATCTTAAATAATGCATGTACATGCATGCGATACACCCTGCCTTGACTTGCAACATGTTTTGTGTCTGGATGCTTCTCCTGTTGAGATCGATTTTAACCGAATTTCAAAAAATTAAAAAATGCATTAATGAATGATTTTGTTTGGATATGTGGACGGGTGATATTCATGAAAATGTCACATGATGTTGCGGTCATTTCTTTGTCCACTGCTTCCAATGAGATCGTTGGCGTTTAATATAACAACTGGTAATAGCAACATTCTTGTATCAATTTTTATTTGTTATCTGGTGCAAGTGAATTCCTGAAGGTAGAGACTTGAGATCGAATCAAAGAAACGAGCGGAAATGAGCTGTGTGCTGTGGAAGCAATATGAGCAGGTGTATTTTTTCGGATGGGCACTGAATTTCAATGAAGATGAATTTTGTTCCCAAGCATGAAATCATTTGAATTGAAAGGTATTCAGCAAGAAGCCGGATAATATTACATTGTTAGAGAGAACCAGTATTACCCTAATCAAAGAGTAGATGAAATGAAAAGTGACAGCATCTTGAGAAAAGCGTAACATAACGTTCCTCAGCGTGTACTTTGTCCCGTTGTACTGATTTGGTGAGAGTGATGGAATGTTGAAAGAAATGTGATATATGTGTTCCAGAAGGGAAAAAATAAAATTGAAAGTGAAAAGTGATTGACAAGCGATGACCACTTAAACGGAATAGGTCCCTCATCAAACAGTTATTATAGTTGACACAGTGACACCAAAAAGAACATAATTAAATATGACGCAACGAAATGCTTCGAGATATGATTCTCAGAATTGATCATTCCGTCTCTTCCATGCCTTTCATGCTAACATCACAGTCTGTCCCGATATCGAAGGCTTAATCTGTTCCTTCACAATTCTTCCAACTGGAAAACAAACCCCATATTGATGACAATTTCCATTGATGACAATTTCCAACTCTTCACCACATAAAATACGTTTCTCTATCACAGATCGCAAGTAACTAGATCGTGCTAAGGGATGTCCGAAGTTATCCAGTGACCGGATGACTGGACAAAATGCATGGCATGCACTGATTTCAGCTTTCAGTTTCGCTTTTGCTTGGACGCGGTGTTTGCATTGCGAACCAGATGGATCGATTAAGTTCGTTAGGAAGTGTGCTTTTTGGGGTGTCATGGAACCCGCGGGGAATGGAGGACGATGGGAATGGAGATGTGGTATGTCCTTAAAGTTTTCAGTTTCCATCAATGATGATATATTGATTTTTTCTAGTAGAAAATGCAAATATGGCTTCGGAATCTCTAGAAAGTACTTGCCGGAAAATTTGACATTGCAAGATAACTGTGGTGGATTTATAAGCGTAAGAAAATAGAATTGGTTCATCGAGGAGTAGAAGATTCTGAAGAATTTCCAAAAATTTATGAGCTGCTTTAAACTGGCAGCATCTATGACTTCTTTGTCTGCTACATCTTAAGTTCATTTTTAATTTGGAACTTTAGAGTCGTATATCAAACTCCCTCGGGGTTTGATATTTCTGAATCTTCCATCGTTCGTCTCTAGATGCATCTTCCACTTTATATGCTTATTAATTGTAAACTATGTCAGTTTATTTTCTGCACAGAGCAAGATCTTCATTCCTAGCATCACAAGTAAGACTTGACTTGCCAAGTGGATGTTCCCGATTGTAACTTGCAGAATTTATTATCTGTTAGTAACACAAGCACATGTTATCGAAGTGTTTAGATTCACAAATTAACGCGAGAAGAATACAATGAACCAATCCAAGATGCCTATGTGGAGTCAATGGCACGTATGTCATATGCGGAACTCGATGACAAATACAATCCAGGTATTCAGGTTGGAGTTTGAACCTTCAGTCTCCGCAACCTAGAAAGTTGCTGCAGACGTCATTTGTACAACCAAGTGTTTGATGGTTTCTCCAAGGATTCCAAGAAATTGCTACTTTTCCAAGAATATAGAAAAACTTAGTTTTCAGCATAGTGTTATCGGTGTTATTTAAATAATATTCCTCAGGTCCGACGTTACCAGATGGAACTGTGAACTTTGAATGTCATTGTGTTGGTCACTTAGTCGCCAGCCCATGCGGTCATGAATTTCGTGAAGCAATAAAATGCCAGAAAAGTGCTGGAGAAGCAGCACTGGAGGAAGGAGCTTGCGCGACAGAGTTCATGAATTTTATGAATTGTGTTATTCGAACGGGATGCTTTAAAAGTAATTCGGTCAATCTTGTCTTGAATTTGTTTAGCCTTCACACATCTTGGTGAACATACGTGTAGTTTGTTAGTGGGTTAGTTATCTTTACAGTATCACTTCTCTTGAATGTCACTGTAAAATAACTGTTTAAAAATAATAAATGTCACTAGGTGAAGGAATTTTACGGGAAAAATTTGAATTACAGGTAGACCTGATCATAACGATGATGAAGAGGAGGAAATGGAGGAAAACGCTGAACTGGAGGATTCTGTGCATTCTAATCAAACCTGAAGTAAAACTTTCGATGGTGCCCTAGTTTCTAATTTTTAATGTTCTTATTGCTTTGAAGAATAGTATTTCTGCTTTAAAGTTCTGTTTGGACTTCAAGTGGTTTATGTGTTGTCCTGTTTTTGTAATCCTTCTCACTGTTTGTCTTTTATTTCAGTTTTTCCAATGTTCCGAATATTTTATGGTAACACTTCCAGTGCTTTATTTGTTCGTAATTTTTTGTTCTTTTATTTTGTAAAATTTCATTACGTTGAACAACTGTGAATTTCATAAAAGGTTTGATAGTCTTGAAGAAGTAGAGATTTGTGTAAACAAGGATCCCTATTTCTTGTAACAGATGGTATTTAAGTAGTCGTGAAACTGGATCTACAGGAAAAATTCAAGTTTGTCTTAGTTGTTGATACGTGAATTCCATAATTTGACTAAAGGGTGTAGTCTATGAAACCATATATTAATTTTTTGAGTATTGCCTATATATCATGTACACCAGTCGGTTTCAACATTTCTGCGCAAAACTTATGATTAGAACAAGGAAATTTTGAACGAGGAAGGGTTTTGTTTCCTTTTTCATTTTTTTTGAAAATGATTTCGTCCGTTCTTATGCGATTTTTGATGACATCTGTCAGTGAATAAGAGAATCGGGATCCTACGCACTTCTCGTATTTGTTCCAAATTTTGTGCTTGTTTAGCAAAAGAAAATCAGAAAGATTCGCACTGCTTTTCAGAATTGCAATAATATTTGCGCGGCAAATAAAGTGCAAATATTTGCAGTAAAAGGTGTATTTTTATGGAAAATGTGGTCGGGAGAAGCCCTTTGACTGTTTTTTGGTAAAGGTTATTTAAAGCTAAGCGAAAGGTCGATTGCGTAATATGCATTTGCGTTTGAACGGAGAAGCTTGCTTTGAGCAAACATTGACGATAGACTGGTTGAAAATGACAGTTCTGAGAGTGACAGTGAACGGTCGTTTCTCACTGCTTGTATTACAGTGGGTTTAATTGAGGTCAGAAGCTCTTAACGATCATCGAGCCCTTAATATTACACTTATTAAGGTACATCGTTTCGAACCATTTTAAATTGAATTTAAAGCATATAGATTGGATTGAATTGGCGCAGTTAAATCTAACTTATCAAATTAAAATATCCTGATTTTCCAAACTTGATAAAACGAACGCAAAATAAAGTTCCCGTAATGGAATTGGGACTTGCAAGGTTGCTCTATCAGTTTCAAGTAAGCCGTTAAAATCCTGCCGCATAGTGGCGATGAAAAAAGGGAAATGTTATGCTTTTTCTGAAGGCAGTAACTAATACAGTCGTATTGCCATCATCAATAGGAATAACAGTCTTATGCTTGGTATTATAGACAATTCGTTGAACAACTTGAATTAATTAATTAGTTTCTCGAATTGTCTATTTATTTACTCACTGCCTTATTTTTGATCCAAGTTTTGTATTTTGGATGAAATGTCAACAGGTAATAGTCATGATAAGCCTATATCCTCAGAATTATTGTGAAATAAAGCAGATGTTAGTTCTTCCGTTAATAAAGGGGCGGAAGGAAACGAACTCAAAGGTGTGACCTTTCCGTCTAAGAAGTCTTATCGGATCTTCGATTTCCTTCTCTTGAAATAGCCATGTCTCTCTAGTTTTTTCATGTATCCAAGGGTATTCATATTTTGAGTGCACGGATTAGCACAGTATTTGTTCTCATGTACCGATTGAATAGAAATGCAGTGGTGAATCGCAAGAAAATGATCACTTTTTATCTTTTATCACTGCTGTACTGTTGTCATTTTGTCCTTTCATCATCTTTTCTTTTGCTCTTATTTATTTTTCCTCTTATCATATCAAAAAATCCGGAATAACTGATATAAAATCAGTGCAATATATGTCAAACCAACAAAATTAATGATCTAATCCAGGTGGTACTACTTTCCGGTTTTATTCATTTTCGTGCAAACTTTTGAACTTATACAATAGAATGCATTGAATACTTATACTACCTCGAAGTATACAATCTTTATCACAACCTATTTTAATATGAAATGAGCCATATGTGGCCTGAAAAATGAAATATATGATATAATTATGAAGAATGCTTCAGCGCCGCGCGCCTTTGAACAAACATTAGCGCAAGATAGAGAAGAAAAGATGAATGAAATAAATTTAAATTTGGATTCATTTTTTGGAGTACAAGATGACAGGTAAAGGAGTCAAAAATGTCTCATCAAATTTTATTATTGATCGATTAACATACAATGGTGCTAAGCACTTCATCGTAGGAAAGAATCCAAATCCGCAGTGTACACTAAAGCGGCTACACTTTTTTCTATGCAATCATTTCTGACTGATATCTCTAAACAGTCTAATATATCAGATGCCAATTATTATCTATTCAATCACACCGTTACTAAATTTTCCTGAAATATCTTCTTCATATGTTCTGGTAGATGACGATGACATACAACACGGAATCTTTGAACTTGTAATAGCTAAACTCCTCTCCAGAAAAAACAGCTAACTGAAAAAAGTAAATTACGAATGAATGAACCATACATTTCATATGTGACCTTCTCATTGAAGTTGACATATCAAGTGTTGGAATTTCTTTTTTTTCACTTCTAACTTTAATAAATGTGATGTCAAGGAGTGTGATGATCCACGTTAATGTCAGAATTAATAAAATCTCAAATGCAATTACCATCTTGTAACTACAACAATGAATAGATAGTATTATTCATCGCAATCAAAGACAGTAAGATATTCAGTGGAAGAGGAGAGATACGCAGGGAGTTAGGGGTTAAATTTCGGTCTATTAGTAATTAATTGGAAGATGCAGGTATCCCTTACAAAAAGTTTAGTGAATGAAACACCTCCCATTGTGTTCAATTGCGATTGCGGTACTGATTTTGAAGAGGACTACTTGTCGGTATCTCTTTTAATCCTAACTACCAAATTATACCGTAATAGATTGGGAGCTAAGATTTATGAATTTTTTTTCCCTTTTCGACCTTTTGTTCTAAAATTATTATTTAACGTGCCGAAAATTACTTTAAAGTGATATACTTGAATTAAAAATGGAACGAAATCTGCTGTACACAAATACAATACAAGTAGACTGCAAAATTAAGTTCAGTAATTTAAAATAAATCCATCCTTAAAGTTCTGCTTTCATTCTCCAGTTTACAATTTCAGCCACTTTTATGTCACCGAATTTTGTCATTTAAATTTAAAATGAATCCAGGAAGTAATTTTTTTAGGATTTTTATTTTTGATTTTGGAAATTTTGAAAAAAATATTCAATGAATTAATGAAAAAGAAGATCTTATCAATTTGATTCAATTTGTGTGATCAGAAAATTATATAAATCACTTAGTTAAGAGGATGAAACAGATCAGAAGCACCCATTGACTTACTACTCATTTGTCCATTCGTTTAATTAGTAATGGTATACTATCCTTCGAAACATATTATTGTGAATTTCATTTTCATACATTATTTCCTTACCATTTATTTGCATCTGTTATCAGTTATTTCTGCAAATCCTGGAAAAGTTTGTTTGTACTACAGTACCACGCAGCGATCAATTTCTGATATCATAAACGGTAATAAAAGTGTGAAAATGAAGATATGAAAAGTGTCGTGAAGTAGGAAGGAGTGCTTCCGTCATATCACCTGCTCTCCTTACACTTGTATGTGCTTTAAATAGAAGGCTCTTTAATTTCAGGCGAATATTTGAACAGGTCTGCTTTAGTACCATATTTTCTATTTGTCTTGCCTTATGTCGGCAACTTTTTCTTACATACTTTTCACTTATTGAAGTGTTTTCCATTGCACCACAATCAGCTTGCTCTTGCCAATTTCAAGTACCTTTCAGAAGAATCAAACAATCGCTTCTTTTCTTTTTCGCCTCAATATGCAAAAGTTAACGATCAGATCAAGAATATCTTTTAATTTTCTTTTCTTCTTTTTAGCTTATCCTTCGAGAGTGCTATTGCTGAGAGAATCGGTCCTCTTTGGTATTTGTATTGTGATATCTGTTCATGAAAGGTTCTAAAATTTCTGCAAAAAGATGAGAAAATATTACGAGAGCAGACAAGAAAACAAATGGGGCTTTTTTACTTTCATTTTAAATAGAATTTAAAGGTTTAGCCAAAACTGAAAGGAGAAAGATACGATAGCCTCTTAGGCCATAGATATCAACAAATTTCTATTTGATTAAACAGAAAAGTTAAAGCCACTAAACATTTGATTTGAATTATTTTAAACACAAAACACAAAGATATTGACAGAATTAGTAACTGCTACAGTCAGAATTTAAGGTTAGTCTATTAGTGTTGACCTTTTGGAATGGACTGACTAAGTGTAAAGAAACTGTGCTATCCAAGGCGGAATCTATTCATAACTCAACCATTGCCATGATACAACAATCGTTATAATAACACCTATATCGTACTGTGTGTTTCAAAGAATTAACAAACTAATTTAAATTGGGAATATCATGCGTCCAATTAGATTCTAAGATATATGCATGTTTTAAGGTCTTCTGAAATTTGAAGCAAACTTGATCACCTTTTCAAAATGTCTTTATTACGAAAACTAGGTCATTTACTTTTTATCTGCTAATTTGTTCAGCCGAAATAGATCAAAGTAATTGCGGACTACATCACCGCCAAACTGCTTAACGTAATTATCAAATGGATAACTAGTTGGTTCCAAAATGACCGAATAAAACAATCAGTTCAAAAAGTGACAGAAAGCATAAAGCTATTTACTTGTACTAATGAGAAAAGCAATGAAAAACAAAGTATTCTCAAATTGCATCACTGATATCGGATCTAAATAATTATCAAAGCCAGTAATATTCAGAAGGATTGGGTCTATTGAAGCTCGAAAATTTTTGCATTTGGCAGATTTGAATTCTAATTTTGAATTTGAACATAAATTTTAGAAAACACTTGCGCTAACTTGAGGAATAAAGCATACACAAACACCGGCACACACACACACACACACACACACACACACACACACACACACACACACACA